TACTATAGAACTAGCAACTCAGACTCTGCGAGAAGACTGAAAAGCCCCATCATAATGAGGCCGGAATCCTGAAGCGGACGCAAGGAGGTGGCGGGACCTAAGTTCCCGCGATTCCAACGAAACTGAGGTTGAAACTCATGATCTTATACCATGAAATGGCACACTGGTTGCACCAGGACCTACGGATTAGTGAGACAGTGCTGCTACTGACCAGATATGAAAGAAGACGTCAGAAACCGGATATTCGCGGACCTTGATATCTAGTGCTGTTTCTCGCACTAGCCAAGATTTGTGAGCTATGTTCGATCAATGTCATGGAAACTTTTCGTTAGCCAGGCATCGCAACCAATGCACAATGTTGATGACTGAGCACCTCAGTAGCTGGATTGAAGCAACGGAAATCCGGATCCACAAGTGAGAACAATAACGCATCCAATAATGAAACATATGGTAACCAATAACGAAATTCAAAATACTATATTAACGGACCATGGTCCTTGTTTATTAAGTGAAGCATTCCGGACATACGCGGGGAAATTGGTTGCGCGCGTTATTTACGCGACTGGCGTCTAGATCGAAGAAGACGAGGTGAGGTCCTTCGATTACTTGGTCAAGAGGCGTGAGGACCTCAATTTGTAGTTGGTCTCCCGACTCCCTGGTTGGGGGCCCGAAAGCGTATGAGTATGTTTGGTTGAAGACACTAGTTGACATTGACAACAGCTGACTTCATAGGCATTTGTCTTGTGCGTTTCTTTGTCCCTCTCCATTGCCCTTAGTCTCCCCTCCAGCGACGATCTCGCCATCGATGCATAATAAAAACAACAATCGTAGCCTGCTTATTTTATTTTGCCCCGTGTTCTTTATTACTATATTTTAAAATTCCCCATTGCGTTGTGTTTCGGCACACTAGTTGAGGTACCTCACACTTTCGTCTAATGTGTAGACTAAATGGATGAATGAGTGGGCCGTGCTAGACAGCTGCTAAGATGCTATCGACACGACCCAGTTACCTCGATTGAAGTAGCGATACAGGTTTTAATCAACGGAACACTCAGCTTTCCTGCGATACAGCGTCTAACTTCATCCTTGCAAACATAGTGTTTCGAGTGCACACGAGTGATCCTCCGTGGTGGAGTACCGGAAACAGAAGCATGCCATCCGCGCGATTCGGCCCAAATGAATTCATACAGCAGCCTCGCGTGAACAATGCCGTTGCATACCTTGTCACTATTAGTGAGATTTCGCAGTGATTCCAAGAATGTCTCGGGCTGAAGCACGCTAACAACAACGTGGCGATACTTGGGATGGTCTTTCAGATAATAGCACTAGCAGGAACGTGGCGCACAGTGCAAGCCAAGCGGTGTGCCTGTTCTCTCCGAGGATTTTCAGGAGTAAGAATGGGAAGAGATGCTTTCCTATTCTGGAAATATTACGCGGCCAAACGGAGTAAATACCTCCGCACGGTGCTACAGCACTAGCCTGTGCCGTCAGCTTGAACGACTTCACGCCAGGCGCGTGAAGAACCGACCAACTATCGAACCCTAGGGCGGATGAACGGTTAGCGAACTCAGGTGAGGGTCGATCATGTGATTGGGCTCATATTCTGGTGCGCCTACAATAGACCAAATACGGAACACAGGGTGAAGTTTGACTGAGTAAACAAGCGTCGTGTCTTAACCCGAGCAAACTACCAAATGTGGCAAACCGGTCGGATAGGATGCGTTTACATTGGTTAAGTCCAGGACGCCGGAGATGAGGAAATCACGCTTTATATGATTACAATGTATGGTTGACCAATAAATAGAACCATCCCTTCTTATAAAGTACGTGCAGGTTACGGGGCGCCAGACAGAGCGGACCGTAGGCAGCATTACTGCAATCGAAGCATCGCAACGGGAAAAACAGTTGCATTTGGAAGTAACGAATACATGCCACTGTTAAGGAGATGGATCATTAAACGTTTCAAGTTAAGTGCTACACATATATATACTACACAAATTTTATGTTGTTTTATTCACCCGAAGGCAAATGTACCAAATTTTCCCTGTATACTGCAACAAAGTAGACATGCATTATCCACATACTGGCGAATGACCGTGATGTATTCCATCTCAACAGAGTATCGAGCTCGGTAGAAGGCAAGAACCGAAGCAGTTTGAGCCCCGACGAGATAGAAGAAGCGCTGGTTTTACTGCTTCACAAAAACTATATTGAGTTCGCCAAAAAACTATGGTAAGTATGAAATTTCATTATTCCCATGCATACTTGATACTCATATTATCGACTGTCACTGTAGTAATTGCGTGTCGCTGAATTTCCATGCATGATAGACTTTGGTAGCATGATCAAGTCCAATGAGACTTTCTTCAAAACTGTTCGCGTGCCGTGTGCATTTTTAGTTCGGCTCTGTAAAGAGGTGAAGCTACGTTTTGTCACGGTTTTTAACCCAGTAATATAAGATCACTGCAACTGAACCTAATAATAAAGCTTTCTTTTAGTGTCACAAGTTGGTAGTGTATGAATTTTCCCCCACAGTGTAACCATCACGATCCCAAGTGGCTTTTCGCTCTTGCGTACCATCCGTCGTTTAGTCACTAAACTGTGATATACGAATGATAATTTCCACACTAATTATGAAACCGGCACAACCCAATTAATTCTCACTTGATGGCAGAGTTAATGCGCTGTGAGCCGCGCTGCAACCACCATCTGAGGCCATCTGGCGTTTCTGATTTCATTAAATATTGTGTTAGTAACTATCCTATGCGCTCCTGGCTGACACGGTCACATGATTTTATTGCAGCTCCGGAAGTACCACACCACACAAAATCAAGGAGCAGGCATTTAGAAACATAGTCAGTGATACCATCGGTTTCACTACGAAAGAGGACCAATGGAATCAATTCAAGAGACACATACCATATGCTGAACCACAAGTTATTGATTACGAGCAATTCCTCACTCTTTTCAACTATCCGTAAGTCTTCTCTAAATCTTCGTTTTTCGAGCTTTATGAAACTGCTGATTGCGAATGATTTGATTTGCCATTCCTCGGCGAATTAATGGCAGGTTGCAACCACTTGCGCTCAATAAATAAGGACACATGAGTTGCATGCAGTTCGGATCTAAGTTGGTTATAGATGCGGCGTAACTACCGTCCGCTGCACGCGGGTGGAACTCAACCAGGGCTGTTGGACCTGATTCTGTCGCAACGAGACTGGAAAGTGACTTGGTGTGACGGTTTGCCCACCTCTTCTATCCATTGAGTCATACTGGGAGGTGACCAGAGGCCCCTTGTGAACTACTGCTACCAGGTTGGTCTATGGTTGGAGGTCAAATGAATTCAATCTCCTGGTCTTCCAGATTTGGGGTTGGAAATGGTATGGCGGATAGCTGCCACTCCGCACTGCCTTGCGGACAGGCTTTTGAAGCAAAGGCTTTGGTTGTGGACCCTGATCGCCCTCCTGTCTAGGTATGGCGTCCTGGCGGTATCTCAGCCCTGACTAATTCTTCACACCTCAGCCATGTCCATCATCGGCCTTCGCGTAGCTTCTCAAGTGTCACCTTATCTGCTGCAAAATCTGGACGGATGAGCGAAAACATGCTATTGCTGACGCATCCCTTCGTTCTTTACCACCTGTTTCTCTCCTCCCCCTCCATCATCCCCCCTCCCTATTCGTTGCCTTCGCTTTTAGTTTGAGAACACAAAAATGCATCTAAACATCATTGCTTGGTTATTACCCAGCATCCTGAATTTATTGGTGTTGAGAAACCGCACAAGTAGTTTGAACGTGTCGAGCATCTCAGGGTAATACAAATAATGGGTATCACCTTTGTTGACTGCAGTGCCTCGGGAAACCCAGTAAATCCCAGGCTGCTTTATGGTTAGCCACTTCGCAAACACTCTGCTTGCCACAAGATAAGTTTACTCAACGAAATCTCAGTGCAGTGCCACTGGGAAAGATATGCGTTAGACGGAATGCGTGATATGTGGTAACATCTCGTCAGCGGCCTTGGCCGAGTCTGACCAACGTAACCTTCATTCTTCAGTTCGCTCCGGTTAAATGACTACACATTCCAGGCTCAGGGCTACAAGATAGGTATGAGTTAGCATTTCATTGCGATGCCTAGCACAAGTCGAAAATTGTCTGCCAGTTGAACCTTTAATAAATCAATGCGCCCCTGGTGGGAAGCACTGTAACGCATTGCGCGTTAGAGTAATGGTAGCATGCAACGTGTAGCTCTATTCACGCCTCATCTGGTCTCATTTTAGGTGGATTGAGGGCCATCTGTAAGTGCACAGTATACAAACATCCACTGCTCCGACCGCGACGCATACGATACCACCAACCGTACGAGTGTAACTCAACTGATGTAACGCTGGAGGATACAGTACCTATACGATGTGGTGCAGAAGATGAAGAGAGAACTTAGGCGATTATGAGTAAAAGGGATAAGTGGATGTCTTCTACTTTCGGAGCAACCATATGTTGTATGTCGACCAGTAACCTCCGTTTGCGGGCTTTCACTGTTGCGCTGTCTCTCAGCGCATGAGTATAAGGCTGTAACGGGGTGCCAGGGAAGAGTAGCACCTTCGCTAGAGGACCTGTCTTACCCTCCGAGGTAGTGAGCCTATCTTCGGTCTCCACCTGTTACCCAGCTTTCACCTGTGGCTCCAAGAAGCTGCTTGCAACTCTCAGCGGCCACACTCCGGTCAACCGTCAGGCAGGCGGGTTAAACCAGGTGAGGGTAGCCGGGAATAGTATTCCCGGTGACTTCCTACTCGAGTGCGACGTCAGTCTTGACAACTGCGCAGAAGAGATAGACCCTTGATCTAACGACTAGAAGTTAAGACAATTTCCCATATCCCTGCCGCCTTGCAGGTAGCACTTGGCTGTGCGAAGGCTAGAGGTGAATCCTCGAACAAAAGCCGCATGAGCTTGGAGTCCTCATCTGCACCTATAATCCCCAGGCAACTTCATGACATGTCCGTTACCCGCGATTCTTCTCACGCTACGGCGTTCCAGGTAGGGGACGCGCTCTGCACTGACCAAGTGGCCAGAGTGACAAGTAAGCCAGCTGGGTCCCTCAATCCCCTGAAGCCACTATTCATTGGATGCTGGAATGTTGGATGTCAGCAGCCAAGCGTTGACGATGCGCACACTACATGACTACCAGATCGACATAGCATGCCTATTAGCTTCTCGAACACCCGGCTATGGCTGTCGACAAATCAAAATCCCTGGTTAGACAACTCATATTGGCTTTACCGCAGTGGGCTGGAAGATAATTCTGGCAATCAAGGGTCGTCATGGCTCTCAGTTGCATGCACACTACGCTGTCCTTTCATGGAAGCCGCTCTCAGCTAGAATAGCAGTTGCACGCTTCAAAGGTCACCCAATGAATCTGACCATACTATCTGTCTACGCACCAACTCTACTCTTACCGGAAAGTGACAAAGACGAATTTTACAATACTCTACAGACAGTGGTGAACCGTGTTCCAAAACGCGACATCCTCATTATTGCTGGGGACTAGAATGCACCAACTAGTCCTAGGAACGATCAAACCCGTCACATACTTGGGAGATACGCCCTTGGAGAGCGTTGCGATACTGAAGACCACTTGCTCAGCTTCGCTGACCTTAACCGGTTGTGCGCAGCCAATACTCACTTCCAGCATCCAAGGAAGCATCTTCTGACGTGGCGCTCCAACGATGATCGTACTGCAAGCCAGATAGATTACATCTTACTCCAATCCAGGTGGATATCCTCCGTCGATAGCTGTCGAGCGTACAGAGGGGTTAAACCAGGCAATAAAGGTGGTTCGGACCAAGTACTCCTGCGCGCCAAATTCAGACTCCGCTTGACAACGCGCCGATAGACCCTTCCACCAAAGCGTATCAACACTGCTCCACTGGAAAATACTGACTGCCGCCTCAGGGGTTTGGCAACAATAGAAGCAGAACTTTATGCCAGTGCATCAC